AAAGGGTGCCCAGACTTGTTCCCTGATGGCAGGAATGACTGAACTGCTGAATTGTAATACTGAACACAAAGCTACTTCTCAATACTTCCCTCTCTGCCATAAACAGTCCTCATTATACCAATAGACAGGGGCTCTGATTGCATTTATTGGTGTGTTACTGATGTGTCCTGTCTTAGGAGTGCTTCCTCTTGGCATAGCATGGTACTCTATGCCTAACAATACCTGCTGCCATGAGAGAAAATACAACACAAATGAAATCAGAAGAGATGCTCTGAGGCTGATCCAGCAAAAACCCATCTTACAAAAATACATTTTGCTGTCCTGATCTCAAACTTGAAGATATAAAGCTTTGAGATGAAGATGCTCTTTACATCCCTAGGATGGATGGCATTAAAGGGCATTCCTCTGCTCCTCCAAGCACTCATAGTGACTGCAACTGCAAATTTTATCACTCCTACTGCACTGCAAAGAAGCAGAGATAGGCCTACAGGGATGGTGTAGTAAACAGAATACTGAAAAAAAGTAAAGAAAAAACAAAAACTAAAGACAGACTGTATATAATCAGCTGCCTCAATCTCATTCTTATTGGTCAGGATGAGGAAAACATTCATCCACATAATAAGCCAGTAAATGAATTAGGCAAAGAAAATTGTGATTGCAAACGAGAAAAAATAAACAAATTAAGACAATATTTTCCAGTTTTCTATAATGATTAATTCAATTTAAATTCAAAAAGAGACATCTACATATTTAGAAAATAGATATTTGGAGCCTGATTATTGCTTTTCCATATGTACTGCAGTCATGCAGTAGACATGTTGGCCAATATGTTGGTTTTTTTTAACTGTACATTGAGGACTAAATGCTGATTGCATTACGAGTGGAACTCCTTCCTCAGTATACTTTTAAAAAGTTTATAATGTTTCAAAATGGTTATATTAGCAAGAAAGGAATGCATTAGTGGTTGTCAAGGAACTTCCTGAGGGCTGGAGCACCTCACCTACAAAGACAGGCTGAGGGAGCTGGGCTTGTTCAGCCTCGAGAAGAGAAGGCTGCGGGGTGACCTCATGGCAGCCTTCAGTACCTAAAGGGAGCCTACAAACAGGAGGGAAGTCAACTTTTTGGAAGGGTAGAAAATGGCAGGACAAGGGGAGATGGTTTTATGTTGAGGGAGGGAAGATTTAGGTTGGATATCGGGGAAGTTCTTTACAGAGAGAGTGGTGAGATGCTGGAACAGGCTGCCCAGAGAGGTTGTTCAAGGCCAGGGTGGATGGGGTCCTGGGCAGCCTGGTCTAGTGTTAGATATGGAGGTTGGTGGCCCTACATGTGTCAGGGGAGTTGGAGCTTGATGATCCTTGAGGATCATCCAAACCAGGATGTCTGGTCTTCCAACCCAGACCATTCTGTGATTCTATGATTCCTGGATGAAATGTGAAATGCTGAAATGTGTTTTAGAAGCAGAGGAGACACATTCTGCTGCAATGACTTCCGACAAGAAAAGGGCACAAAATAGTTAAGTCATCTTTCTTTGGATAAATACATGGTCAAGTTGCTACTGAGAAGCATTTTTTCCAAATGTACATGTAGCATCTTACTAAAAATCTGGCATCTTTCTTTTTTTTTCCTATTAAAAATGCCCTAGACTTGGGATTCCAACAGTCTCAATTGTCATCTTAGGTAATTGTGCACTCATCCAAATGAGTCACAAACTACAGATGACATGGAAAGTCCACACAGGCTAAGAAATCCTGACACTGGACAAAGATATTGTTAAAGGAGGGACCTCCTTTAGCTTGCTGTTGTGGTACTGTGCTTTTCAGATGTTTACTGATACAAATAAAAAAACCCAAAAAACAATAACAAAAGAACAGCAAAATGAGCAGCTGCAGTGTTGCTCCAATATGAGCAACGTGACCCAAAATCTCCTGGGCTATTTTCCTGAGGTGTCAGCAAACAAACGTAAAGACATAAGGCCTCAGGAGTTTCTTCACGTCTTCCATAGATGCTCTACCCTCTCTCTGCCAGACGAAACCGCCCCAAGGGAGCATTGACATACTTACAACAAGGGGCTCATCAGGCAGAAGTTAGGGCTCAGAGCTCTCCTGAACAGCTGGTCTCTCTGCACGCACTTAGACAGCAGCTGACGGTGTCACCGCAGCTTGGGAAAGTGATTCAGAAAAGTGCTCTTTGTTTTCCAAGATTCATAAACTGATCTGTCCTATGGAAGGAATGGCCAAATTCGTGTCTGATTTGTTTTGAAAACACAAGTGCTTTTTAGTCTTTCTGAGAAGAACCATTGATTCAGCATCATTAATGCGAAATAGGGAAAAAAAGAAAATTTTAATGACAGTGATCATAAAGATCATTAGTGACCATAGATACTGCAGGCATAATTTCATTCCTTTAGCTCATTGAATAGTGACCTTCAGATTTCTCATTGTGGCTGCACTTGTTAAAGTTAAAAAAGCCTATCCTGATATCGTGGAAATTGGGCTTAAATCACATGCAATGGGTAACTGGTGGTGCTTCTTTTGGTTTCTTTCTGATTCAACACAGAAAAAAAAATAGTTTGATGATGGGTTAAACGGAAGTTCTGGCTAGTCATTACCAAACTTGAGATTTTATTCATTTATGTGTCCTCTGCCAATTCAGAGTATATTGTAACCATTTCCCTAACTCTTTTTCTTCCTTTTATTTTCTCTGAACTGTCATGTAGAGCTGTTATGCATTAAAAGCCAGCTGTTCTCTCTCTCCCTAAAGTATGCAAGACAGTTTTATATGAAACAGTTTGTTGAGGTAGCTGAAACTTTAAATCTACTTGTATTTTAAAATCCATTTGCACTGCAACTCAGAATAGAAAAAATGTTCATCATAGACATGGAAATTCTGAAAATGCTCTGTTTTCTTAAATTTTCTAAATCTAAATGTGAATTCTGCTACACAATATTTGGGATCAATACAGATTAAGAACAATTTATAATGATTGTAAAGTAAACTTGCTCCCATATAACTCAGGCAGACTTCGCCTTCTCTTGTAGTTCTGGAGAGTAACTCATGCTTTAAACTTAATAATTAATTTCCCAACCAATGAGAAAAAGTACAGCGTTGTATTTTTCCTAGGGCTTTCATTAAGATCTGTAGGTTCACTTCCCTCAAGACATGGATCTCTTAACAGAAGATTAAATCCAGTTTCCTGATGGAATTTTATTGTTAGAATATTTTGGTTCTCTGACTATCTACTTAAAGTATTTAAATTAAAATGTGTCTAGATTTAGTCAACTGTTGATAAGATTTGAGACTTCTAGTAGCTGAGAATATTTAAGCACATATGAACCAAATTTTATTATATTACAAATTGCCATGAGGGATCACATTTTAAACCAGACTTATGCAGAGTAAAACTAGAGTAATGCAAATAAAATTATTGTAGCTACTATAGATTTAAATCAGCAGGACAGATCACTATCTGCATCTGTAAGCAGTGTCTCTTATGTAAGGAGGTATAAAAGCATATATAGAATTAATATGTGCACATACATATTATATAAAATGACCCCTTCATATATTATATAAAAAGATATCTTCCTCACTTAAGCAGTGGTCCAACACTCTAGTATATATGCAAGAGCAGAAAACCATTTAATGGTTTCTAGCATTCAATAGCATAGAGCTCATGACAGATTCAAGTTTTTCCATCCACAGTGTCATGCTGGAAGGAGTTCCTCAGCCCAAGTACACTTTGTGTGAAGAACTGTCTCAGTATTTGTTTTGAATCAATCCCTGCTATTTCATCTGATAGCACAATTAAGAAAGAAGACATATTAAAGGGCAATGAATTCATCCTGAGATGGAAGAACAGCCATACCAATAGCTCTTGTAAAATGAAGCAATAATCAAAATATATCAATTCTTTTTTCTTTCTTCATTGTTTTTACCAGAAGATCATTCAGATTAGAAAATCTCTGCTTAAACTGCCAGAAATGACTGCAGTGAGCCTCAGCATAATGCAGTATCTACTAGGTATATGAAGGTGATAGGACGGAAGCTGGGACACGGGAGGTTGCTTAACCAAAAGTTGCCCTCACCTTTATAGCTTTCTGCCTCAGAGGCCCTAACTGCAGTCAGCAGGAATGTCCCACTCTTGGGTTCTGGGTTCAGCTGTTAGAAACCCTGCTAGTGGTAGCAGACGCATATACCTGGATGACCAGAGCCCTCTGGGTGGCAGAGATTCTGTGAACATGACAACTACTGGGAATAATGGCCAACCAATCTTAAAAGGCACCTGGAAATGCTTTTTATCAGATAGAGATTATGGGTAAAACAACTGAGTCATTTTCCTATGGTACTGAAAAAGGAAAGAGGAAAAGAAGAAGGAAAATATGCTCTTAAGGCATATTTCTTCGCAAAATGTACTTCAGAGATGGCATGAAGTTGCTTTTATGTATCACCAGTCTTAGAAAGCTTTCATCTCCTCTCTATCATAGACCAACACTTCTTTTAGGGGTAGATCCAGAGTAAAAACCATTAGTAGCCCTTTTTTGTTCTTGTCTGTGCCTTATCTCTATCCAGGCATCTTCATACCCCTCAAGAGGGTTTGGTTCCAACATCTCTATGCATGCACTTTGGAACATCTCAGTAGGATGCTACATCCCCCTTCCTACTTTGCTTGTCATTATGTTGTCTTCAATACCCTTTCAGCACTTCTAATTTAGTGAATTTAAGATCCATTCATTAGTATTTCCTAAGTTCATATGAAAAAAGAAATACAGCAAAGGCAGCAGAGAAAACAACAAAAAGTTGTTTAGTTTGAAACAGAACCTCAGTATATGTTTAAGGATTCACTAAGGATGCTATTTCCAAGCTCAAATACTCCTTAAAGGAAATAATTTTCCTATGCCAGACCCGAACCTGCAAGCCAAGATAAATCTTTCTCAGCACTTCCAGGTTCCTGAATTGTCTCCCCATCATCTCACAGAGTATAAGATTTTTAAGGGTTTCACCTGTGGAAACAGTCATCAGATCAACGTTTGACTGAGACTGCAATGATTATGACGATGAACAGCAGAACGGCCACAGCAGCAGAGAGGAGGCAGCACTTCATCTTCCTGGCTCGTAGCTGAAAGAAGAGAAAGAAATAAATGCATGGATATTGGAATAGGAAGACGGAGAATATATTCACGAATAAATTTTGCTATTTTTCCATCAGTGAGACTATCTGAAACAAAACAACGTGGTACAACATGGAGAACTTGCGTCTTTGTTCATAATGATCCATTACTCTGAATGACCTCTTTTCTCCCTTTTCAAGGGAAATCTCCTTAAATATAATCACCTTCCTGATAAAACAATTGCACCTGTCCATAGTTCTCTATCTTCCAACTGAAACATCAATCTAATTTGGAAGACTATGTTGATGTTACTGATATTACCTACTTTTCACACCTTTCCCTAAGTGGTGTAATGAGCCCGAACAGTGGTTAGAAATTCTATGTTAAATGGTTTACACCTCTCTGTACTGCTATTACCCATAGAGTTCTACTTCTCTAGCTATTTTGTTCCACAGAAGTTTTGGCCTCTTACACAGGTGCCTGGAAGTGCCAGGGAACTCCTCCATCCACTTAGTTCTCCATTTGCTTTACAGTTATTCACACCAAAATGTTTTCTTTGGGTCTGGAAAAAAATTAGACACTTTCAGTAAGAGGATCTTTTTGTCAGGTATGCAAGGCAGGAAATCATTCTTCCCCTTCCCCAAAAACTCTGCTTAGTGGCAGCCCTTTGCTCATACCTTTAAATGAGTTTACAATGACTCCTAGGGGAAGTACACGGTCGTACCATAGCTGCCTCTTTCTTTAATGAATTTTTTCACCCATTAAGTGTTTCTTATACACTTGCAGCCTTCATTTCTAGAAGGATAACTGGATTCTGAAAGCTGAATGCACGAGACAATAGTTTTGCTACAGAATCCTCTTTTCTTTTAACCTCAGTTAATTCCAAAGCAAACCACAAAATCTCTGCTTAAAACTGAAGACTATCTTAAAACATCTAGATGTCCTTGTCCACTTCAGCGATGTCAGAGCCTTTCCTCTGTCAGCAGAGGATGCTAATAGGTCATTAAGCGATTTAGCATCCAGCAGTGGTCTAATATTCCTAATGAGAATTTCAAAGGCTGTATGGTGGCTTTTATTTCGGACCCTTTGCAGAGAGGTTCCTTTATTTTGCTCTATCACTGCAAATTTATATTCACTGTTATTTTCGCCCTACATAGATTTTATTATTATTTTTTTTAAAGAGTGTAAAGCAACCATCACACTCAACCATAGACAGATTCATTGGAGGGTAAGAGAGAAAGGGCCAAGCCTGTATTCTGATATTTAGGTTAACATTTTATGACCTTGCCCTGGCTGGCAAGTCAGGATAATGATTCCTATTCTGTTAACATCTCTTATGAGATTCAGTAACACTGTCCTTTTTATAGCCCCCATGCACTTAACCAGCCCTGTCTTATGAAGAGGACAATCCTGTATGTTGGTGAGGTGACGGATGCAACACTTGCTTGTAGGTATCCTTTGGGAGCTAGTAGGGAGTCTATAGCCTTAGATTGATTGCATAGCTCTTGCAAGCTTTTCAGTGCTCTAATTAGTGAAGAAAGACATTAGCACGTAGCAGGTAGGGCAAATTGTTCTCATCACCAGATAGGATCTACAGACCATAGTATAGGGACCTTGAAGAATATGCAATAATAAACAGCATACATTATAATAGTAAACACAGCAAACTCTGGTAATTATCCCCAGTTGAGGTTAACAGAGAGTGACTGCTAAACTGAGATTATAAACAATGTCTTGTCATTGTGGAGAGAAGTTGGGAAACAAATAATGCAGTCCTGTGACTCTTAATAGCCCCAAGACATCATGGCACATTGAAAACACATCACCATCAGAAATTTAAGGACTAAACAACTTGCATACGCTATGATTTAGTTTTCCCAGGTATGCATGTACAGTTAATGAAAAAATATTTTTCCCCAGCAGGATCTCTAATTTACTTGTTCAGTAAATGGGTAATTATTGCACTATGCGCATACTATATTTACATATATTTCACTTATAGATATTCTTAGTGCATCCATCAAAGCCATTCTTACACGAGACCAGAAAAAACTTTAAACCTTTCACTTAACACCAAAGTCCTAATATTTCTACGGAAGTTTCAAGACAATAAAGAGTATCTTCCATTTCAAACATCAGTGTGCTTATGGGTTCATTTTAAGGTAAGGAAGTGGAGACAGAAACCATAGCTGGTAGCCTGGCTGATCTCAGGAATGTTTAAATTCCCCAAATAGTAAAAAATAATAATAATAAAAGCATGATGTAGTTTATTGAATCAGGGTTAATCCACATGATAAACCATTTCCAAATCTGCAACAGGATCATTTCTCCCAAGGCCAAGATCCTGTAAAATGATTCATTTATTTTAGGACATAATTCTTCAGGGAACTTTGCTTTTTCATAACATATCCTATGCCTCCAACTAGTCTTCAGTTGATTTCACTCATCTTTTTCAAGCCCTTTCTCCCCTCAGCTACTGGAGATCTTTCTTTTACACTGTCCACATTAATGTTACTGCTTATTTGGATCCAAGTTGAAGGAGGGAAGATTTAGGTTGGATGTTAGGGGGAAGTTCTTTACAAGGAGAGTGGTTAGGCCCTGGAACGGGCTGCCCAGGGAGGCTGTGGATGCCCCGTCCTTGGACGTGTTCAAGGCCAGGTTGGACGGGGTCCTGGGCAACCTGATCTGAATGTGTGTGTTTGGTGGCCCTGCTAGGCAGGGGGGTTGGAACTACATGATCCTTGAGGTCCCTTCCAACCCGGGTGATTCTGTGATTCTGTGATTTTCCTTGACTTTTCTGGGCTCTGCATAGGAAGCCTTACAGGCCTTTGACCTCCTCTCAGTTCCCATAGCCCAGTGCAACTTGCTCCCACAGCTGCAGGACTGTATGATAATTCTGCCAAGCTTCTTCTACTGTCAAGGAACACATACTGAAGTAATGGCGTGCCTAGGAACAGTAACACAGCACAGGTACTGACAGTTGAGGTATACTCATGGTACAAACTGAATCTTGAGAGTGCTTCTCCCCCTCTCAGTTTCCAAGAAGTATTAAGGAAAATTGAGAAAACACCATTAATTTTTTTTTTTTTCCATAGACTTAAAGGTTTTTTTGCCAAATTCTCATAAAGATGGAAAAAGAAAGGCATGTCTCCTTTATCCATTTCTTTTCTGTTAAATTGTAAAGCTCTGTCCACATATATGCTGCACAAGAATATAACAAAACCTCCTAAAATATGTTTGTCCTACGGAAATATATTTCCCAAAACTCCATTTTAGAAAACACTGACTACCTCTAATTAATTAGAGTATGTATCTGTATCTCTAAATATAAGAGATATAGAAAACCTGACCCACAAAATTTCAGGCCAAATTTTAGACAAGTTTAAAGCAACTAGAAAGAATAATTTTCTGGTAGAAGATGTACGACAAAAAAATATAAGCAGTCTTATCTGATTTTATTTTAATTATATTAGTTTATCCTTAACCCCAAATGATGTGCTGTTGCATTGCTCTGGTATTACAGCTCTGTCCCAGTCTGTTTTAAGACCATTTCCCATAACACAAGGAACTTGTTGACTAAATTTGAGCTAATCTATTTTCCTTGTAAACGTTTGTCCAAGATGAAAAGAATATAGTCATCAAAAATAGGAGCAGCACAAATCCTGAAGTAAGAAGTAATGGCTCTCTACAAGTTATTCTGCTAAGCTCTCAGGGCTTTTTAGTAACACATTATTAGTAAAGATATATTTTAGTCTTGACAAAAGCTCTTTAAGCACACATATGAAATAGTGAGGAGCGAAAAGCAGAAAAGGAATGAGCAAGGCTATTTAGGGACACAGCTGAGGAGTGCTTTACATTGACAGGAGAAGTGGATATAACTGAGCCTGGAAGAAATCCTTCCATCACCATTTCATAAAAGAAGCTTTAGGTCATGTTCTACAGCCTAGAAGGTATTTCTTTCTTGGGGGTGAAATGTTAAGAGACATTCTAATTATGTCACAACAGACAGTTAAATCATTAACAACTATTAAAGCCCAATACTGCCCTAGGCCCAGAAAAAGAAGATTCGTTTTGGAAATTCCTAAGTAAATGCAGTTACAAGGAGAAAAAAAAAAAGTGTCTTTGCTAGAGAATCAAATGCTGGCAAGAGCAAAGCATAAATAAGAGGAAAGTGGTCCAAAACTGCTTTTCCTGTATGATTCAGATATGGAAAAGCAGCACTGTGGTTCTCTGCTATCTTTGGATTGCTTCCACCATACACTGCAATTCAGGGAGGCAGAGAATTCCCATCTGGCCTTCGTAAAGAAAACGAATATAAGAAGGACATAAAGCTATTATAGAGTGTCCAAAGCAGGGATATAAGGATCACAGAATCACAGAATTGTAGGGCTGAAAGGAACCTCTAGCAGTCACCTAGTCCAACCGCCCTGCCAAAGCAGGTTCCCTAGATTAGGTTGCACAAGTAGGTGTCTTGGCAGGTCTTAAATATCTCCAGAGAAGGAGACTCCACAACCTCTCTGGACAGCCTGTTCCAGTGCTCTGCCACCCTTATTGTGAAGAAGTTCTTAAACACCTTTGTACTATGCTTCAGTTTGTGGCCACTTCCTCTTGTCCTGTCATCACGCACTGCTGAAAAGAGTCTGGCCTTGTCCCTTTGCCTCCTGCACCTTAGATATTTACAGACATGATGGGGAATGGTGTGGAGAGCAAGGTATATGAGGAGGGGCTTGCTAGGTTCAGCACAGAGCAGAGCAGACTGAGAGGAGGCTGTTCCTACAGCTCCATGGTTGTGGCATTTTCTAGGTCATCTTCAGGACAAAAGCCCTGGGCAGGTTGCTATCATTAGCCAAACTAATCTTGCAAATATCACACCTCCCTATTATGTCCCCCTCTGTTCACTGGCTTTAGATGAGGACAGGGATGAGGACAGCAGAGAAAGAGCAATGCTCAAGATTGCTCAGCATTGCTCTATAACTCTGCAACTCCCTCTATAATGAGGGGAAGTTGTAGAGAGGTGGGTGTTGGCCTCTTCTCTTGTACAACTAGTGATAGGATGAGAAGGAATGGCCTCGAGTTGTGCCAGAGGAGATTCAGAATGGACATTAGGAAATACTATTCTGAAAGAGTGGTCAGGCACTGGAATGTGCTGCCCAAGGAGGTAGTGGAGTCACCGATCCTGGAGATGTTCAAGGGACATTTAAACGTTGTGTTGAGGCACATGGTTTAGTGAGAACTAGTGGTGATACACACAGGTTGGACTGGATGATCTTGATCTTTTCCAACCTTGGTGATTCTGTGATTATATAATCTAAGACCCAACAGCACGTCTTCCTCCCTCCAGCAATGTAAAATAGTGAAAGTACTGACACACCCCAGGCTTTTCAGCTAGGTTGCATGGGCAAGAATCTGATTTGTGGGAAAATTCTATCTTTCAGTCTTCATTTCTAAGGTCATTATGGTAAGTGAGCAAAAAGCCATCCTGTACTCAGTGTAAAAGGACTCAGTAGGGCTATCCTGAGGAATGCTTTTTAAATAGTGCACAAATAATGAAGCATCTTCTAA